TAAGCAAAAGCACATTTTAGAGGTCTAAACACTTAACGAATCGTTCCATAAAAAAGACTTAGGACAGATTGTAAAGAAGGACAATTATGTTAATTAGGTAGTCCTGGGATTTGTTGACATTTTTAATGTTTTCTTAGGGTACTCAGGTAATCAAATTAAAAAGTTGCACATTTGCAAGCTCAATTCAGTTTAGAAAGTATACGTGCCGTGCCGAACCTAAATGAGATGATTAAACATTCTCTACCATGAAGCCAAACATTATTGCAACTGAGTGGTTGTGCTCTGCTTACTTACTATGGTAACCTTGTCAAGGGAATCACTTTTGCTATTCTTTGGCCTCCCTGCGGCATATTTGGGTTTAAGTTAGTTGCTTGTGATTTGATTGGTGCTGAAAGGCGTACGTTAGGCGCCTTTGGCCTTTTGGCCTTTTTTTGGCCTTTTGGCCTTTTACAAGAAAACTTCATATTGTTTTATGTAATTTTATATTAATTTTTGCATTTTGCATTTGAAATTTGCATATGAAATTTGAAAATTTAAATAAAATGCATAAATAAATAAATAAAAATGTTTTTAATAACCATGCAATAGTACGAAAAGGAGAAGTTACATGATGTTATTTGGTTCCTTCCTTCCTTGTGTAAATGTTTTATAACAAAAAAAGTACAAAGAAAAGGAAACAAATTCATATCTCAAATTATAACGACTGAAAACATGTCATTTTATAATATGAAGTATTATTGATGTTGTTTGATTTTCGTTATTCACTTTGTTCTTTACCTCCCCCGATTCACTGGTGAAAATTGCGAAAGCATGAAAGAAAAAAAAAAAGCAGACGCACACCTATCATAACATGCGACAAGGCAAACAGATAATGTTCATATTTATGTCAAGGATATGTTATAATTCATTTACAATAACGAGGAAAACTGAAAGCACTTCAAGTAAATCCTGGATACTTACGACCTAAGAGACATGCATATGAAAGTTGCTCAGTTTCCAGTGGCATAGCGACAGTATCATTATACACACACTTAGATTTCTTCATCAAACTCGACTGTGCTAATGCGCAAGTTTTTGAAAGAAAATACGTTGAAAAGTTTATTTTAATACAAAATTGTTTGCAGCTTTAAATCATTTTGGAAGGTCTAAACTTAATCTTTTAAGATCAACTGACTGATCAAGTTGTTAGGATAGTTTTCAACTTTCTATCACGAAACTTTCATCCTTCAGCGGTTCAAGAGAATAGATATACCTTTGCCAGGTCATCTAAGTGTTTTCTTCAATATCTATCGAGAATGCGCTGTATATGTTAAACGGAATGTGAGAACTCGTATATGTTACATAAAGGGAACGTTTTCCTAGCATATCTTTCGTTCATAGTGAATTCTCTTTTTGCCGGCAGTGGTATGTATATAAATAATAATACACCCACACGTATTTTTGTTCACCATAAAGTCGTTCGTAGTAACAACATGAGTAATTCGTTGCTGTCATGTTTTTTATTTCTCTTTCTTTACAATATTCCTAAAGGTTGTTCTTATCAACCAGGGAATCGATTTGACAACATTATGTCGTTAAAGTTACTTTTATAATATTTTTTTTATTAATAATGTTTTCGATTGTTGTGGCCTCCCCGCAAAAAAAAGATATACGCACGTTGCAAAGCGAATTTTAGATACCCAACATCGCTCCTAAAACGTTCAGTTAAATGCGTTGCACATGGCTTGCTCTAGTTTTTATACGCCTTTATTTAGCTTTCCAGTGTAAGTTAATTGTGAAAATCCGCTGAAATGTTCGCCAAGTTGTCCTATTTTTTCGTAGCAAATTTTTAAATAAACAAAGTAAGAGAAAGAGAGAGAGACGTACATTGTGAAATCTATTTAATATTTCATGCTTTTGTCTTCACTTTTAGAAATTTTAGCAGATCGAACGATCGAATTTATATACTCCATAAAAACTTTTAAAAATTACGATAATCGAACCTATTTTGATCGAGTCATTGAAATTAATATGTCTGCTCATAACTAGTTGCGCGAATGGCTCATAATAAAAAAAAACAAAAACAATACCCCTCCTTTCCTTCGATAGTAGCAAAGTTGAAAAATCGTAGACCTTTGTATTCCGGACATGACAGTACAAAACGCTGTCCCTTGAACGCGCTATGTGTCTGAAGTTTCAAAAAAGGCAGTCGAGGACTTAGGCTGTGCAAGAATTGAACAAAAATTACTTCACCCCGATCGATGACAGTTCCATTTACACAGTCCATTACACCATCTAGCTTAAATTGTAGCACACTTTCAATGATTGAATGAAAGATTCCGCGATTTGGTCAGGAGGTACGCCTGTTTACCTAGAAGCCTTTTCATTAAGCTCTAGTCTATCATGTTCGTCTCTTTTAATAAAGAAACTCTCGCATATAACTCAAGATGTATTTTTCATTTGTCCAAATGGAAAATTTTGACAAGAAAAAAATCGAAATGCTTAGATTGCTTAGATATTCATACCTATGTTTTGTACAATGAAACATGTTGCCGGTAATTTGATAACGGTCTTCCGACGGAGATTCAATTATTAGGTATGCAAAAAATTCGTATTAAAGGGGTAATAATTCTACGACCTCCTGATTTGAAAGCTGGCGAAAAACGCGTTACTAGCCAAATCGAACTGACCCGATCGACTGTTTCTAAATAATTGCTGTACTTTTTTTACCATAATAATTGTAACTAATGAACTCGTTCACAATTAATTTCCTATACATTATTTTATCTTAACCCTTAAATGCATATTGTAGCCAATTGTCTACATTCCAGTTCCACTTTAATTTTGAGATCAATTTGAAAATTGAAGAAGTAGGTCATAGGTCATAGTCACCTTAATATCAGACATGTATGTATAAGTAGTTGAGATGAATTTAAATATTTCAAATATTCCCACTAAAAGGTGAGAGTACTATGTACATATGAAATGTTGATAGTACAAACCAGGGAATGGTGAACGAAATTTATCCTATGTTTATAATTAAACGGTTATGCTAAAGAGCCACGAACCAAACCTAACTGCCAATCAATCGGTTAAACAAATAAGTAGACAAAGACAATGCGGTAAATTATAAGTTTGCTGTCCATGTTATGAGTTCATTTGAATGCTTTTTTGCACATTGCTCCCTACGCGTACTTCAGGTGACATTGATGGCAGTAGTAGTAGTGGTAGTAGTAGTAGTAGTAGTGGTAGTAGTTGTAATAAGTGTACATAGCGTTCGTTTATTTAATTTCTAAGTTATTTTTCCGAGCCACTATTGTACGCTTTATGTAATAATTGCGGCTGTCCTCCATTTGTTTATTAATTTCCTGTCGTGAGCAATGGGAATGGTGCTGGTCATATTCATTTGAAATTTATTAAAGTCTTATTAAAAAAATTGCTTTTTATTATTTACCATTTCAGAGCCACAAACAAAAAGAATGATATAAAACGCATCGGCAGCAGTTGTGGTGTATGCTCTTCTTATAAACTTTAGAAAAAGAAATCAATTAAAAACACAATTTTTTTTTTTTTTTCTTAATATTTAATTACATTTTTCCATTAAAAAGTGCTATAAAAATTTTAGTGTATGTGGTAGAGATCGATTTTCTTCTATGGTTGCTTGAACGTCCGTTATAGTAAATTTAAATACACATTAGTCGTGTGGGGAATGGATCGCGTCGACAGATTCTTAACGACATCTACTTGAACACTACTTTTTGATCGTGCCAAGCACCTTACGGCAGCTGAAGAAGACTATTTTGAATAAAATAAATCAGTTTTGACAAAATAACATAATTACATATATACTTTGAAAAATAAATTTGCTTGGTCAATCTATGGGTCCGTTTGTTGAAGGAACGCGTGAAAACACAGAACTCTTGGCAAATAAAGTTATGAAGAAATGTCAACCCTGTGTAAGATAATATTTGAAAAATTTGCCCTTTTTTTTGTAGATGATATTTAAACATAAAGTGAACAGGTTTACAAAAATTGCCTCATGTAGACAAAGTGTAGTAGACATAGAGAAAGCTGAGAAAGCTTTGTAGTCATGGTAAAGGATTTAATTGACGGACACGTCTCCTTCATCTCTGTAGATCATTTGCTCGGAATGTACCTTTTCATCACATAGCCCACATTACACCGATGCTCGCGGCTATCGAGAGTTTTGTACGCGATTCCGTCACCCATAAGCACCTGAGCCTTTCGCTGTATGCGGTCGAGCGCCACCCAAGCAAATTTTAGAGGCGCCCGGATATCGGCTGCAGTGATGAATTTCTTACATCGCTTTAAAAAGCCAAGTTTGCCACTCATGGCATCAAGGTTTACCGATTTTTCTAGGTTCTACTGTGTTTTGGCAGCAATAAAATTTACAATATTAACTTGGCCCCATTATGCTATTTTTGTGAGAAATCGATTTAACGTGTCAGGCGGCGTTTGTTGGGCATTTTAAGTGTGATAGTTCCTTAACTTTACTAATATCTTTAATATCGTAAGGATATTAAAAGGCGGTCTATTTGCTATTTTGCAGGAAAACTTTGGGAGATAAAAATGAGTGCCGTACAATGCAAAGTTTTATGACCTAATTGCTGTCCGATTCACCGTATTCTTCAGATCTGGCTCCTACGGGTTTACAAATCTGAAAAAGTTGCTCGAGAAAAAAACTGTAGATCAAGTGAGAAGCTTTGCATAGACTGCATAATTCTTGAAGTTACGTTGATCAATAAAGTAAAATTGTGCAGATAAAATAGTTTCTTACTTAGCCCCAGAAATTATTGATCTATGTATTTGTGAGGAAATAATTATCCATCAAAATGAAAATCTCCCTATGAAATGTTTTTCATACATGGAGTTATAAAACATTATGTACTTTATCATCAAAGAACTTGTGATAGCAAGCATTTATTGTTATTTGCAAAAGTTGTATTAAAGTGAAAAAGGTTTTACTATTTTTTTTTACTATTTTTCTTTTATATTCGCAGCTTTTTCTATTTGTACCATTTCGCGTTCTATGCTTATCATTATCGCTTCAGCGGACAAAATCGTAGCTTAGCGTTGGTATCCTCATGGCTGTTCATACAGGTAAATAATTTCTGTCAAAAATATTATTTTTTCTTTTACTACAAATTCGCGCGCCAGCAAATATGTTCTACTCGTTTGTATTCGTAATTCTCCCCAATGCTGCAAAATTTCTGCATTTTATTTCTGTCTTTTAGTTAACCTGTCAATTGCATCCTTATAAATGCATCTGAAACCGAATAATACTCATGATGTACACGATGTAGTTTTCTAAAATTGAAATCACGTGTTCTGTACGGAAAGTGAAATACGCACATCTGTCTGTCACATGTAGAAAACGGTTCGATTGAATGAAGCAACTTTTTATTGATTGTTACCAAGCATTTTATGCGATAGTAGATTTATTAAGTAAAGAAATAAGTTCTTGCTCATTGTCATGTGAGCAAACGGCGCTTATTTCAAGATAATGTTACAAAATACTTTATTCAAATTGCTGCAAATCGCTAGGAACACACTCCGCCCATTTTTCTAACAGAATATGAATTGTGTCACGAAAACAGACCCGGTCCTTTGAAGCTATCCATAAAAGGACTTATTTCCGGGTATAAGAATGGAAGCGCTGTTCGAATACAACATGTAATGTAGTTGCCGTCCTGTGCTGCTAATATTCTGTGAGTGAACTTTACTCATTCGTTTATGGGCTCAATCATGCTAAAAAGATACGATGTTATGTAGGTAGCCTTTCCTGGCGACGATTTCGTACCGTTAAGCTGCTCATAACACCTTATAGTTTGCAAAGCCTTCAATAGTGGCGACATAGATTTTGAGCCTCCACACTTCCACTGCCATTTACTCTGGTTACTTTTTCTTCGCATAGTTAATCGTGTGTATCTTCCTTCGCTCTTCACATTTCAGGAGCGTAGTCCTTCAAGTTAAGTAAGAAAAACATCTTTTCCCGCATTCGGCTTTCTGTTTTCTTGCCTTCATCTTCGCTCGGGGAAGTCACTCTTTGAAAAGTGCTGGCAGTTGAAGTAACGTCATGTCTTCAAAAAAAAAAAACGATAAGCAATTATTTCTGCATTTGATATATAAAGTCCAGAAAAACATCTCATATTTGCATGTGATCGTTGTAGTCTTGGCAATAGACTAACGAAACGTAGTAACATAAAATATCCGATATATGTTGGTAGCCGGTAGCTAGGAGTAGTTTTTAGGTAAAAAGCTTCAGGTCCTTTAGAAAGTAATTCGATGCTTTTTTTAAGCTTAGGCTCCTACCATTTACAGCAAATGATAGAAGAAAGCAAATGCCTTCTAAAAAAAAGACAACGTACTCAAAATGGAAAACATATGGGCGGTAATAGCACTTTAAACAGAAAAAGCACACAAAATCGATCTCTGATTTGAAGAAAATGAAATGCAGTAAGTGTGTGTGCGGCTAAAGGAAAAAGATAACTTTTCCCTTTTCTTTCGAAAAATTGGGCTTATCTAAAAACATATAAATAAACGGATTCAAGTAAAATAATTTAAATCGGTAAACCTGCTCCGCTCACCAAATCACGTTGTCCTTCCGTGTTGCTTATTAGGAAATCTCAAACCCTAAGACGATATCTTTCGCAGCTTTGTAAAAACACTTGGCGCACTTTGATTCTGTAATAAGAGAACTCTGTTACACTAAGTACAGAATAAGTACAGTTGTCGTCCTGCTATCTACGAAGATCTAACGAAAATTCGGAATGGAAGAGTCCAGCTTTATTTATGTAATTTTTCCCTTAATCGCCTGTAACGAACATCAGCATGAAGTTTAATAAATGCATAGCACTCTTTTGCCCATTTTCTCCATTTTGCTCCATTTTATTTTAAGAGAGAAGCAATAAGCAAACAATTGATCAAACAGCTTAAAACTTATAGGTGGAAATGTGAAATTTTCAGCCAAAGTTAGTACTGATGAGTTCAATGAACCAACTCCTTCTTGTTTTCTGCTAAAATAGTAAAATAGTGTACATCGCAAATGACGCAATTGGAGATTAAAGTACTCGTTGTGGTCTCAACATCCGAAATGAATTTCAATCTAGAAGGATTTTATGAAATATGCTGCTGGACTATTATTTGCTGACCGTTATTCCTACCACCGTTTCGTGGCATAAAATATTTGTAGTAATAGATCATTGCACTGAGAGAAATAACGGCAGAAAGAAAAAAGAGAGAGGGGGAGAGAAAGTATTTGTGAATGTAAGTTTCGTTCTAATTTGGATAAAGACGAGTTTTAGTCTTATACCTGAGGTGTGTAGGCCCAATTTTTCTTTAGAGCATTCGTCGCTTGAAAACTCCTTTACTTCAATCAATTCCACTAAGAACTTTGGTAAACCGGAGGCTTTCTTTCGTAGGCCATAGCTGAAAGTTTCGCCGTCTTTTATAATATAAAAAATAGATCCCTTGCACTTTTTTAGAGGCTCGACTCAATTCATATTTCCCAAATATATTCATACACATACTCACACACACACACACATGCCCACACTGTTAACTACTATAATAAATAAATAAAATAAAAAATGCAGTTGGAAACATCATCATTTTGTAATTTTCAACGTCCCCAAGGCCTGGATATATTTCCGACTATCATTACAGTGGTCTTTTGTCTTGCATTTGCATCTCTTACAAAAATGGCAACAGTTTTTCTTTTATTTAATTATTTTGTTGTTTTTAACTGAAATATTTGTTATTGTCCTTTAATGAGCACAAAAAACAGCATTAGATATCAGAGACAAAACAGAATTGGAATGGTTCACCTGTTCGTTGTTAGGAATTTCCCCGGTATAAGCAAAGCACAAATCCTTAAAGTTATTACAGTTAACGCAGCTGTACATTGAATTTTGTTTATTGTGTTTAAGTTGAAGTTATATGAGGTTAGCTTCGTGTTCATATGTGTGCGTATATGTAGCTGCGATTCACGTGCCTTTTATTGATTTTATTTTATTAATGATATAAAAAGTGCACGTGCCATGTTCATAGGTACATGATTACGTTCAGATAGACTAAGACACGTAAGTTTAAACAAGTGAAACCGTTGCAGCCTTTCAGTCTTGACAAGCATTTAGTTGCAATTTCAACTACCATATAAACCCTTGCCACACATAGTATAACTTTGAAAATAATGATAACTCATGCGTTTATCTGAGATCTTAAAAATCATGTCCATACAATATTCACTCTAATGTACGAGTACATAACAGTTTCGTTTTATGCTGTTTTCGTTGTTTTGCACATAATTTTGTAATGATTTTCATAGACTTATTAACACATTTCAAACTATATTAATTATGCTCTATGAGTATTCGTAATTTGGTAAGAAGAGGAAAAAATAGACAAATAACGACCATAAAGATACTGTCGCACATACATATTAACTTATATATAGATTGATATAAATGATGTATGATTATATAACAACATCACTTTGACATGTTGACAAAGCTGTTAATCGAATTTCTCTTTCAATCAATACGATTCTCCTGACTAATTATATGAAATTTGCAATTTTGAACTTTTTCACTGCATTTTAGCATTCGATGCTATACTTTTTCCATCGTTACGAATTGCCAGTTATTATGCAACAAACGCACATACTAATAATCCAAAATGCTGGAGGGGGTAATGCGGCCGCAGTAATCATGCCGCAACGACAACAACAACAACAACAACAAGAACAACAACAGCAGCAACAAGCAGTTGGAATTGCCAATGGAAACAACGGTATGGGAGGGATTGGCGCCGCGGGTGGCGGTAGCGGTGGCGGTGGCGGTGGTGTTGGCGCTGGTAACGGTCGTGGTGGTGGCATTGCCGAACGTTACAATTTCCCTACAAATCGTATACGTTTTATTTCGTTGCAACAGCAACAGCAACAAAGGCAACCGCAACAAGAGCAGCCAGGACCGCATAACCCCCACTTACAGAGAATACGTGGATTAATTCATCGTTTAGTGGAAGGAAATCTCGGATCCATGGACACGCTACGGCGTGCATTGTTCGCTCGTGGATTACGCGAACCAATACGTGTCCGCATACAGACTGGCGACTTGCAGCACATCAATCTAGGTACTATACAGATAATTCCCGATAATACAATGACACGTGCAACACAACAAGCACTGAATAATAGTATTGCTGGTGCAGCACCAACGTCAGGGGCAACAACAACCGCCACCAATGAAAATACAAATAACATAACAGCACAGCAACAACAAGATTTATCAACGACTACCGCATCAACAAATGCAATGCTTTCTATTAGTGAATCAGGTTCTACTAGAATTGCGAATACGTCAGCCAATCATAATAATATTGTCCGACTTGGTGCTGAAATAACAACATCTTCAACGCCCAGAGCAGCTGCCGTTACCACAACATCGTGGTCGCCGCAAATGTCTTCAGCTCGTTCAGCATCCTTCAACACTATTGTCACAGCATCCAATAGAATCGGATCAACTACCTCAACAACATCAGGTAAATTTATTATATGCACAATCCCGAACCGAGCAACCAACACCAGTAGCTAAGTAAAGCAAAGTTTTGCATATTTTTCAACTCGCCAGAGACAGGAATTTACTTTGTTCTGCATCACTCAATTCAAGCATATTTACATTAAAATGTTCTCTGCATATTTACTGAAATGAAGCAGAAACAATGAAAACGTGTTGTTTATTTTGCCTGCGTAAACCTAAACGCATACATAAGCAATTATACAATAAATAATTAATTATAGGAAAAGGTATTGTGTTGCTCTACACATGTCAAAATATATGTTAGATTAAAAAAAGTACATAACGTTTATGGTTCGTTTTGATGGTGCCTTTATTGTTGTTCGGAATCGACATTCCTCGACTTTCAAGCTACATACAAGTGAATGGTTTTCAACAAAACGAACATGACAGGTTTTCCATCCTTTTATATCCAGCAACGAAGGACGGTCTGCCGCGCCTAGACGAAAGGCTGCACAGGCTGGTATGGATATGGTTGGCCGGCACCAAAATCTGAATCGATTTGGCCATGTCGGCTGTCTGTCTGCCTGCGTGTCTAATATTTACAGTAAATATGCAGCTATCGACTTCAAATTTGGCGGAAACATTGAAAGTCCTTGCATTCAGCTTGTTATTGAAAATAAACCAAATCGGTCGAAAGATACCCCCACACTCCTAATAAACGGAGAACAACTCTGTTATCTGCCAAAAGGGAACACCTGCCTAAAAGAGAGATAAATTTTTGGTTTGTTGTTTAAAATTGATAAAGAAGGTAATGATAGTTAGTATGAGATTCGAACCCATTTCCATTGAACAAACTGGAAAATCTGACATTGTTGAAGAAAATTTCGTATATCAATTATTTCTCTTTTGACAGCATATATGAAAGAAATGACGAGGAAAGAGATAGAGATAGAGATAGGGAGTAGTCGTCGGGTAACGAATACGGTAAACGATAAACGTTACGCTTTTACGGACTGAGCACTCGTTATAGATACGATCAAGTATGCTTTACAGCCCTTAGATTTAAACCCGCGAAGATTCAATTGGTGGTTGCAACTTTTATTTAAATGCAAAATAAACGAAGACTAACTTTGTTTTATCGATTTGGATTTGCCTACAACTAAACATCTAAAATTATATAAGCAACCTGCACCTGAATGGATGAACACACCTAAGAAAGGCATTTAAAGTCCACAAAAAAAATCTACGCATTTCTTGACAAACTCGCAAGACCCAGACAAGCCTACTAATTACACAAACGAGATCATAGGTCCGCTGTCCAAGCGGTTTTGCGCATCAAAGATTCGCTTCCTATTTTTGCTTTGCTTTTATAAAAAGGATCCCGTTTTGGCGAATAAGGAGAGACTAAAAAAATCAATTGTTTTAAAATTGGACTACATCGGTTCAAGTTTTGGATCTTTCAAAACTATTTAAGCAGTCAGATTCCTAATTTTTATGAAATACGTACCCTTCGAAAGTTATTAACGGATTAATTTAGGGTATTTCATTTCTTGCCAGCCTGAGTCTGTAAAAGAAAGTCGTCCACTAACTCGGTAACCGTTTTTTATACCCATCATGTAAAGATAACCGATATATTCATCACGAGAAGACGTTAACAACGCCCAGACGTAAACCTCAGAAACCCTATAAAGTAGATGTATTCCTAATCAGCATTATATTCTAAACTGTTTTAAACGTGTCCATCCGTCCGCCTGGCTGTCTGCCTGTTTCCGTTACGTATGTGGCAAACATACGGCTAGTTGCGAAAATGCAGCAATCGTCTTCAGTTCTGGCGCAAAGATTGGAAGTTCTTCCACGCGGGCTGATATTGAAATTGATCCCAGTCGGTCAAACGACGCGACCGCCGTGCAATATAACCTGAGACCACCTGTATTTTCAAAAACAAAAAGATATATAAATCACAACAGACACAACAATTAAAATTGCATGTCTGTGGGTTCTATAGGCGGCTTCACAGCACACATATATATATATATATATATATATATATATATATACATATATATACAAAGGGGAAATCGTCCACTCAATATTATAGAATGTTAGCATTTCGTTGTTTTATCAAAAGGTTTACAGCACCCAGAAAGAGGGTTCAGAGACCATGTAGACCACAGTCTACATGTTATTGAACCGTCTTACGCGACAATTGGTATAAAAGTCTCAGCCGTTGTCGAATATAATTTTCTCTCCTTTTTTTGTTTGTAATCACGCGATTTGAAATCAATTTTTCATTTAAGTGAGTCTGCATAGAATCACATCAAGGCAGCAGAAATAGTGAAATAATTTTTGACGCCATATACGGGCATTATTGGCTTCAACAGGCAAAAGTCCAATGTCGCTTATATGGCGTTAAGGAGTAAACTCAAGCATAACAAGACCGATATGTTTTCAAGTGAAACTACATTTCTTAGGGTTTGGTCGTTTGTTTAAAATGACATTTGATATTATCGACTAAAGTTTTGTAAAAGTCTTTTATTAATTTTATATATATATAAAAAAAACATTCACAGGAATGCGAATTTGATGAGCCGACTTAAATCACTTTCCTCATAGAATGCTTAGAACTAATTCTTCTTTTCTTTAAAAGGAAACGGGAATTGAGATAAATTAATGGGAAATTTATGCACATACGGTAAATATATAGAACAAACTAAAAATAAGAGCATTATTTGGGAGGAAATAGTTAGAATTCTTTCCCCCAATTGAGGGTTGTCAATGCCTACATTAGAGGAAGAAAAAAAGAAAATCTTCTTACATAAGTGAAAGCAACGAACAGCGAGAATATTGTCTTAATATTTATTCTACAATTTTTGCAGTTTTACTAAATCCGCCCAATAATTAAATTTACTAATTATTTCCCCAACTACTACAAATTTTTACCTCCTCCTAGTAGCAGACACACGTACGTATATCAGGCTATAGTATAGTTGGCATGTTGCTCGTTAAAAAAGAATTAATAAAAAAAAAAACAAATAAATAATTGATGTTTTGCCAATTATTTTTCTTTCTATAGGTTATAATATAACTTGTTGCGTTAACAACTGGCTTACATACATTTATGCACAGTGGCGGAGCACGTTCAAATGAATTCTCTCTTTTATCGGGAGAATTCATTACTTTTTGATATAAAGTTTTATTACTAAACATGCTTTCGAGTCGGCATGAAAACCGCCAATTAATATTTTGGCCACTTTTGCACACCCAATCATAACGAAATTTTGTACACAACTTTCGCATACAATACAGCAATCAATTTTGCATTGCTGGAGACTAGATAGAGAAATTTTTTTAAGGCAATAGATTACAAAATTAAAAAAGAAGAATTTTATGAAAAAATATTTAAAATAAGGTAATGAACTCAAATATGAAAAAGACATTCTGTTATTGAGTCAGTTTTATGTAATTGCACAATAGGCGTAAAGAGGGCCAGCCGCGAATACTCGGTTTTAATGCCACCCCTGAAATTTGTATGTTCGAAATTCTCATAGCGCCTTAATTTTTCATCACGCCATTTAACCGGCAATGTAACGCTTACCAAAAGCGAATAACTTTTCTTTTTGGTATGCGGCCTTCTCCAAACTCAGAAACTATGTATTGATAATCCGGCAATTTCTTGCGGTTTTTCCTGACACCAGGTTAAAATAACTTTTGGTGTGCATAGTTATGTAGAGCAGGCTTATGCTTATTTTGCAACAAAACCTTCCAAAGTGATCGATTGTGTCATAATACCGCCAGCATATTACACATATTTTACTTTTTTAGAAATATGTGTTGAGTAGGGAACTAAAGCTGTGGCGGAACGCACTTCCCGATATTAGTGTGCGAAACTCTTTCTCGAAAATTTTCAGTGAAAACTCTACCGAGTTCTGCCATCTTGTGTTCTAGGCCATATGCTGTTGATGGCAACTAATTGAAGGTTATGAAGGTTGAAGCTGATCAACAAATAACGATTCGTGAGATTAGAGAAAAACTGAATTTCTTTAAAACAATCGTTAGTGGTCGCATAAAACAGCTGGGGTTTGTAAAAAGGTCGGATATTTGGATTCCTTATGATTTAAAACAAAGTAATTTAACATAACGTATTAGTATTAGCATTACTATGTTGATATGCTATGTTCGATATGCTAAGAGTTGTAACTGATGGTGAAAAATGGATTTTATACAAAAATGGTCAGCGCAACAGATCATTTTTAAAGCAGGGTGAGCCATTTATAGTAACACCCAAATGGGACATCCACGGAAAGAAGGTTCGGTTGTCAGTATGGTATGGTTATGAAGGAATTCTGTATCATGAGCTTCTGCCGCGAAGCAAAACATATAATTCTGAAGTATGGTACGAACAATGACGTCTTGCGGCAGAAATGTCCAAACTTGGTCAACCGAAGAGGTATTGTTTTTCATTACGACAATGCAAGACCTCATACTTCTTTTCTCAACCGCCAAAAACTATTAGAACTTGGCTGGGATGTGTTATCACATACTCTTGACGTTACCCCATCAGATTACCGTGTCTTCCGTTCTCTGCAAAATTCGTAAAATATGTGGCAAAACTTTCAATTCAGATGCCAGTACAGATTCATATATAGAAAATTTTTTTTATACAAAAGATCGGAATTTTTAAAAAATGGGAAATTATTATTAAACTAAACAGCAAGTATATATTTTTATTTCTTATATAAAAGAAGTGATGCTAGTTCATAGTGGAATAACGCAAGAAATTTTCGGACTCGCAAATAGATTAAGATCGAGCCTATTGCCACCGAGATCGAGCCTATTAGCCACAGTATCATCTCACACCGTTATGCTTGTAGTTATTAGATGTCTATGATGATGAGTAACAGCAACTACTAACTTTGGTGTCCGCACGTATGAACTTTCATTAAAGCTAGGATAGAGTTCTACAGAGAATTGTTCTTTTAAGAGAACCAAAACGCGTTTTGCTTAACAAGAAAAGAAAATACATAAATTTTGTAAGAAGAGAGATTGGTTTTCAGATAAGGCGACGACGTAAGACAAGTCACTACGTGAACAGGGAAAGAGAAAAACCTTCATCACTTAACCGATCAGTTCAGCAATTTTTGCCATTTAGGAAAACATATTTTAAAACATTTAATCAAGATGTGATTGACGTAAGTTAATATATCTCACTCTGTGGCAATGATAATTACTGCAATGCGCGTAGAAAATTATAAAATGGTCGGTAATGTCGATTGTTCAGATTCTGAGGAATCCTAAGAATTTTCAACCCCTCTTGTACTCTGCCTTAACAAACTGTAAATAACGGTAATATAATATAATGAGCCAAAGCTTACCATTAAAAACCATACCGCTCTACAGTTGTTTATACAACGAGTTTTCAGGTCAAGGCGTTTTATAAAAAGTGGCGGAAGAAATGGTTCGATCCGTACGATTTTCCATAGGTTTAGGGCAGAACACTTCAGTGTGCAAGTTTTCATTGAAATAACTTAACAATTATAATGGGTAGATTGAACACAAGAAAATAGGACGGACAGACACGCTTACATCAAATAAGAAAATGATTCTGAATTGACCGATATTATAAATAGCGGGCCTACCTCGAGTCCTTTTGAGTGTCGCATACATGCAAAAATGGTGTGGGAACGGGCTTTGCCCGTGCCTGGCATACTTAATTATTGAAAAAAGAATGTTTAGACTAAGTTTTGACCTTTGTTTCGAGAAAAACGCCTTTAAAGTTTCAAGGGACTGTGCATTGCTGTACATTTATTTTGAAAAAATCACATGATTTGACCGCTCAGCCCGTTGCTGAAAAATTTGTAGCGGTATTACCCGTTAAGGAGTGGTATCTGCACTTCAAATTTTTATGCGTCCTACCTAATCTTTTGCTGTAATATAAAGAGAGAATACTGACTTTGAATGCGAGCACTTACGCACTTTGGACTCCTTTAGATTATTTTAACTTTCAATATTGAATAGCTACACAAAATTTCGAATTAGGTTGAAAAGTATTCCCGCTTGCATTGAGTGTAAAGAGAACTGACATGAAATATATCTGGCAGAATATATTGAGGCATAATTCCTCAGATGGACAAATCTGCGCCACTGCTTGCACACATTACACATCAGCATGTGTACGTGTGTGTATAAATATTAATTAAAGAGAAACAAAAAAAAGAAAAATGTGTATGAAAAAAACATGTACACAATAACAGATTTTTCTTTTCGCTATACTTTTATTTGTTCTCATTTTCTATTGACATGCAATGTCATAACAAATCAAGGGAATGAACTGTTGAACTCAACAACTTTAACAAAAAATAACAATCACAATAATGCTATTGAAGTTAAGGAAACACTTGAAAACAATAAAAATGAAACGGAAAATGAGGCAAATTGGCAAAAAGCGCAGCAGCAACAACAACAGCCGCAGCAATCAATTCAACAAAGTGAAGAAAACGAACAACAACAAGAAATCCGTGGGCAATTACAAACGATAACAAATGATGTTTCAATTGAAAGTGAAAATATTGAAGCTTCCCGTAATAGCGATGATGCTAAAGAAGTTAAAAAAACAACAGTAACAGGGCAAAGTGATGGCGTTACTGGCAAACTTGATGTTACGGAAACGGATGTTATGGGTGCGAATGCCGACGCTGCTGAAGTTATATCAGTAGAAACTAATAATGAAAATAATAAAATAATAAGTGGGAGTAATCTGCAACAATTAGAGAACAATTGCGAGGAGCAAAACAGTAAAGTAAAAGTTTTAAACAACAATATTAGTCAGGATAACGAATTAAACGCCATAAAAACAGAGGCAATAAAGCAAACGTCGGTCAAATCAACTGAAAGTGCGGAGACTAATATCAATTCTGTTTATCTAACGAGTAGTGAGAATATGACAGCTCCTGCTATGATCATAACAACAACAAATCAAATTAAATTGCCACATAATAATAACCAAGCGCAAACAACACAAAAGCAGCAACAGTCACAACAACAGCAGCAGCAACAATCAGAACAAAACTATATAAATAGTGGCAATGAAGCAAAGCATCATCATCAAGAGAAACCTGAAATAGATGCCGTAGAAACGGTAACAGTAACAGCACCATCATCCTCATCTTTACGGACGTTGTCATCGTTAACATCAACATTCACAACACAAATTGATACAATACCTGAAATGATTGATGGGAGACAAGTAATCAAACCACAAAACCACAATACATCATCAACGGTCCAGCATGCAACAATAACGACAGTAGCAACGGTCTCACGGGCTTCAGGCCTAACAACAACTCCATTGATGCCAGCTGCTAGTGATGGTAACGCAGCCTGCTGTTATCAAACAACATCAACACCAACAACAACGGTAACTAACACCAACATTGATAGGAACAATTCATCGTCATTGAATTTAACTGTAAACACATCGACAAATTTAATAACTGATGCCACCGACGTCAGGAATGCATACGACGACGACGACGACGACGACGACGACGACTACCAAAAGGACTCGGCAACGGTTTCACGTGAATAATTCTTTTGTGTACACACATTACGCATCATACAATGCACACATCATCCCTCATACGCCTACGCAAATATGTTACAACACACAGACATTTTTTTCTTTAATGTAACGACGGCTTTCCAAGTAAAATCTTATAAGTCTTAAAAATTAAAATAAAAAAAAATAAAATAAAATCAAGTCTTTTTCGTGTAAACGCGCGATGTAAAATAAATGAAAGAAAGATGAATAAGAAAAAGAAAAAAAGTAAAAAGAGAGGAAAAAAGGCAAAATTTCAACAAGAATTCTATGTATATGTAAATGTGTTTAAATATATTGAATATGAATATACGAAAATAATGAAAAAGAGAAACAAAAGCGAAAGTCATTGATCCCGAAGTATATAACGGTAAATTTCGAATCATTATTGGAATTGCTTTTCCTAAGAAAAGTACTACGGCTAACATAAAGGTAATCGCTATGGCCATTCTCTGCTTAAAAAGCAAAAGTAACTGATCTGCCACCTGTACAAGGAACTGCTATGTCGTTTAGCCATAATATGTTTGGTTGCTGCCAGCCGCCTGTGGACCAGGTTTGTATATCTTCTTTTTTTTAAATATTATCGAATTGCGAAACAATTATGATACGTAGAGACACACATAGCTGTATACATTTAAAAATTGAAGGGATTTTTTTCGATGATCTTCTGCCATCTGTCTGGTAACCTAATGATTTTGCTTTCATCAAACTATATGACAGTATTAACCCAAAGTAAAATAAAGTACCTTGTCAGGCCAATAACTTTGATGAAAGGTTTTCCATTTAGATACTTTGCAAAAGCTTATGCTTTATACAACCCGTCGTCGAAGAGCGGTGGTATATTCATTCTTCCAAAACGTCTGCAATGCTCAGAAGGAATCTTTACTGATCCCATACGGTATGTATACACATATATATATATTAGTTTGGGGAAAAAGAAATCCATTATTTTTATATGAACTTCAAGACTTTATTTAACATGCTTCGGATTGTCCCATTTGGGTCAAATATGCACCGTTTTGTTGTACGATTTGTTGCCATTTTAAAGGTAACTTCAAAATGCCTCTCTCATAGAAGTCCTGGTCTCTATTTGCAAAAAACTCTAGCAGTCGATTTTCACAATCCTCCCTAGATTCCAATTTTTTATCATTAAAGAGATTTTGCAATGCAAGAAAAAGATGATAATCGCTTGGTGCCAAGTCCGGACTGTATGGCGAATGCATTAAAACTTCCCAACCAAGCTCCCGAAGTTTCTGGCGAGTCACTGTAGATGTGTGTGGCCTAGCGTTGTCCTGGTGGAACACGACACCTCTCCTGTTGGCCAATTCTGGCCGTTTCTGGTCAATCGCTAACGTCAAACGGTCCAGTTGTTGACAGTAGAGATCAGAATTTAGCGTTTGGCCATATGGAAGCAACTCATAATAAATAATCACCTTCCAGTCCCACCAAATGCATAGCAAAACCTTCCTGGCCGTTTGAGGTGCTTCACCGCTCTTTGACCACGATCGTTTTCGCACAGGGTTATCGTATGTGATCCATTTCTCATCTCCAGCCACCATCCGTTTAAGAAATGGCTCTATCTCATTCCATTCAGCAGATGGAAATTCGATCCATCATGTTTTTTTCTGTTAATTGGTGTGGCACCCAAACATCGAGCTTCTTTTTGAATCCAGCTTTGTGTAAATGGTTTAAAACTGTTTTAAGGTCGATTTTTAGTTCCTGGGCGATGTTACGACTGCTAACATGTCGGTCAACTTCGATCATTTCTCCGATTTTATCGACATTTTCGGCGACCGGCCTACCTGTGCGAGGTGCATCTTTAACATCAAAAATTCCTGAACGGAATCTACGAAACGAAAATTGCACATAATTGGCTGCTAAAGTATCGGAACCATAAACACCTTTCACAATTTTAGCCGCCTGGCTTGCATTTTCGCCTTTGTCAAAGAAAAACTGTAAAATGTACCGAATTTTCTCTTTGTTCACTTCCATTTTTAACACGCTGTAACTCACAACTGAATGCACCAAACAAAAAACAGCAAAAGAAATTTTTTTACTGCGAAATGTACAGTATGTAAATGTACAGTATCGGAAATTGTTTGATCGATACTTTACGAGAAATCTATCAGTGCAGCCATCTACCGAAAAAATAATGGATTTCTTTCTCCCCAAACTAATATATTCTTAATCAGACTCGAATTCCGAATCGATTTAAGTAGGTTCGCCTGTTTATCTGTTTAATTTCTACGGTAAGCAATTTCCTCTTCGCAAAAATGAATATGTCGGTATCAAGTTTAGCAAACGGTACAGAAGTCGAGCGAACGACACGCCCACATCCCAAATTAACTGAGAAGAAACCTTCTATCTGCAATAATGGAATCTGAAAGCATCATTGTTTTTAGAAGCAATAAGAGTTACAAAAATTTGCATTTGTATGGACGGATGCCACGGTGCCTGGGCAAAAGTTGAAAAAATCGGGCTCCACTAATATTATAAAACATTAAAATTTTATTGAAGAAGAGCTTGAAAGGCCCTGCAAAGTGTAGATATTCTTGCTCAGTATCAAGTTTTGGACTTCTCTTGTCGAGGCCAACCGCCTTTGTTCACTTCTCAGGTAAAAGTGTGGTCCTGTTCGTAAAAGTTAACGTATTTAACTCTTCCTAATTTGCAAAAAGACTGGAAATTCTTGCATTTTGGCATTAAAAATGAGCGAAATCATTCAAACGAAAAGCCCTTAGGTCAATATGAATTACGCACGCCTCTACTTTTCAAAGCAAAAACAAAAAAAAATTAAGTTAAGAATAGTGTCGAGGACTTGCTCGTATATTTCATTGATGTTGCTATAGTATCTGTAGAAAAATGGATTACTTGGACCCGTCCAAGTAATGTAATGTAGAGTATCAAAACTGTATTTTTCGTTTGTGTATGTGAGTTTTTCTAAAGTGAAAGGCATAAAAAATTTGACCTTAGCCGTATATAATTTTCTTGTTTGTTTTGTTCTTTATTGAGAATTTTTATTATTATTACATATTTAATTTATATTCTATCCATAAAGATAACAAGTATATATTCTGGCAAGGTCGGGAGAATTATATAACAATAGAAATATGGAATTTAAATAAATAAGAAAAAACTATTCAAACTTACAAAATTCGTTAAAATAATTTAAGGAATAAAGATGAATTAATTGATAAATGCACGAACCAGCCGGCATTTTATGCCTTTTTAAATTTTTTATTTCATTGGATCTACGTAGAAGACAAATTGCTAAGCGATTCACCTGATTACTCCGTCTGGCAAAATGTTTTGAAAGAAGGCGTAAAGAATCAGACTTTCAACATATATGGAACGTTGAAATCGTAGTGAATAGTGAATAATTTTCTTGCTAACAAACTATGTGGCATTAACAATTAGACGAGCAGCCTTCAATTCAATAAAGCTTCGTTTGATTTATTTCGATTTTTCATATAATTATAAAAAAACAAAAAAAATGTTTTAAATTGAATTTTATTAAGGAGATTAGAAGTAGATATTCTCCTCGCACATGAATTAAAAATAATTTAATTATCGTTGTTATTGTATTTAAAGTGGCGGTAAGATTAAGCAAAAGATTTATTTTCAGAAAAAAAATTGTAATAAAGGATATGGAGTTCTAGGAAGCTATGTTACAAAAATGGTACAAAAAAACGAATAAACCTGTGGCCAATAGGAAGGCGCTGATCTCTTACATTTCATCTACTAATGTAATGGTTTGCTAATAATTGGGGCTATGGGCGGTAGTGCAGGTGTTACTATCACTTTTTCATTAATATATTATACGTTCAGAAATTATTCACAGTAGTCTGACATTTTATTTATTTTTTTTTTTTGGGGTATTTTTTATTCACTCTAGAGAGGAAACAAATAAAAATCTGCGCCTTAACGGGGAAAATTCATGAAAATATGTCGAAAATTGCAAAAGAATTGTAAGCTATTGCGGTGGTTCTTGATGTATAGTTCAGTCTGGTCATGTTGAAAGGCATATCTTCTGGACAGACCGCATGTACGTATTTTCCTTAGATTTAAGTGCAACTTTGGGTGAAAAACTCTTCGAAAATCAATGTACAGTAATACGGTTAGAAGAAACTCGGAATTGTTTGCACATCCTACCCTTGTTCTTGCATACAATCTGCTTTTCACACCCAGTTCGCCCTGATGCCAGTAAGCTTCCTTTTATTTATGGGTGATGAGATAAATGGAGGAAACAAGATACATTGCGTTCTCAGATTCTTTAAATGGCGACATATATTCTAATTGCTAGTGCTTGGTGTTCGAACAATCTCTTTATCGATAATTCCTAAATTAAATCACTGAAAAATCGATAACTAAAACAAAAGATTTGCCATCAAAGCTGAAGAGAAAATTTCAAAATGTTCTAAATAACTTGCACTTATATCATAAGGGTCCTAAGAGCAAGAGTAACGTGGCTATTTTGAATATTAATCCCATTCATCCCAATCATTTAAATTATATTGATTTGCAACACTTGCACAAGTAATAATGTCAGTAACACATTTATGACTGTACAGATCTGCGTACTTAGAAATTTTCACAGTCATCTTATTCTTTAAACATAGTTGCACTTTAGTACAAGGAAAGGGCATGGTATAGCTCCAAGCCTCTTTGCGAGCACGTTCTATGCCATTATCTGCTACTGATACTAGACATCGTTGATTTGATCTTCAAGAGTATTTTCAGAGTGTTCTACGGACATTCGGTGGACTACAAAATCTCGTCCTAATTGCTCGTATTAACGCTTTCTCACTATATTATAGTTATCAGTCCGTCTTTTTATGCTATGGACGGTCTACCGCACAAACTCTCTTTTGAGGGCATTTGTTAAAAAGATTTGGTGTAACAGTAATTGTTGTCGTATCTGCATTGCAAGAGAATGTAAGAGAAATGTGCGACTGAGAGACGGGCCGCCACTGTTCGTAGAAAATAATAACATGGCTCTGATAGCGCCTCCTAGTAATAGTTAGCTGAGTTGAAAAACATCTTCTTTCGGGGACGTCCTCTTACATGTGCCATGCAGCGAAACGTGTAAAAGCGAGTTTTGGTGTTGTAAATGAGCCAACATAAAGTCCAGCCTCAAACTTTAATAAAACATTCATCCTAAAACCATACATATATCCTACAATATAAGCTTATGGCAACGCATTTAAAGTGGACGTGAACAC